TTTTTTGTTCGAAGTGTTTCGCCTTCTCACGTTTTCCCGCTTCCGACGCTCAAAGACAGAGGGATAAAAAACGAATAGATTCCAGACATTGGCTTTGTCAAGTTCAACAACTGTGCATATACATATATACATCTACATCGCCACATACATCATACATACACCTGACACGAAATATGTAATGCTTGTACTTTATGTGTGAGTGAATGTGTTTGTATGTGTGGTTGCGTATGTATGTGTATTTGTTTTTGACATGTGTTTGCATTTGAATGTGAGTTTACATTTGCATATGTACTTGCATTCGCATTTGCATGTGTAGTTGCATTTGCATGTGCATTTGCATTTGCATATGCATGTGTATGCGTATGTGCATTTGCATTTGCATTCGTATGTGTGTATGTGTATTTGCATGCGTGATTGCATTAGTAGTTGCATTAGCATTTGCATATGCATTTGCATGTGTATGCATGCATGCGTGTATGCGTGTGTGTATATATGTGTATATATACACATACATTTATGCTGGGGTACTGGAAGCCTGGGACCCTGGCCGGGACACCTTCCTGGACTTCTCCCCCTTCTGGCCCACGACATTGTTCACCCTTCTGGTGCCTTCCGGGCTCTCCCCCGCCGCTTAAATCTGCTCCAGAGGCCACTCGGACAGCCTGAAGAGTCCCGATTATTTGCTGCCCCCACTCTCGCGACGTTAGCTCTCAGGGCGGGGTGCGGTGGGGTGTCAGGCAGGGGATACTGCAGGTGGTTGCCGCTGCCTTCCGTGCTCGGTGCGACCCTCGAGGTCGTCCGTGCGCGAGGGCGGCCGGCACACTGCGATCTTGTTGTCAGCAGTAGCCTCAGCCTCGGTTCCTTCCTCCGCTTCTCCTGCTGGTGCTCACTCTCTGCGACGTGCAGCTCTGTGTCGGCACATCACGATCGTAGCGCAGATGTATTCGATCTGTTCGCTCTGCCTGCTGCTAGCTATTCCGGGTCATTAAGAATCGCCACGATCAATTTTTCGAGCTATCATGTTCTCGGAGGGGGAACCCGCGCGGGAATTGGCGGGGAGGCAAGGGTTGGAGGAGACGAAGGGTAGGGGGAGAGGGGATGAGGGGAAAGGGCAGTTCCCGCTTCTCTCGGGACCGTGGTCAGGGCTGGCGATCATGGCGGCTCCGAGAGCCACATCGTCAGCGAATTTTCTGTATGTCTCGGGCGGTTCAGAGGTTCCCTTTCCTGCCCCTCCTCCTTCTCCTTCTCCGTTGGTTCCCGCTTTGTCCTTTCTGAGACTTCTGTGCTGAGCTCGCGCCAATGCGCACTGCTGTCAGTGGCTGTCCGTTGTACCAGGCTTATGGTACTTCTGTGCGTAGCCCGCGCCAACTTGCACCATGTTCAGTGGCTGTCCGTTGTCCAGGGCATCTGAGACTTCTGTGCAAGGCTCGCGCCAATTCGCACCACTCTCGGTGGCTGTCTGTTTTACATTCTTGGGGTCTTGACAGGACCCCACGAGGGTGCCAATGGGGGTCGTGGGGCAGTATTTTGGAGGGCGTGGCTCCTAACATCGAGACCCCCCGGGAGGCCCCCAAAGATTTCAAAAACCGGCCAGAAGATCCCGAGTGGCCCCGAAGAGACGCCAAAAGGCCCCCAAGAGGCCTTGCAGATGCTTCACGAGGCCCCTGACAATCACGCCGCGAGCCCACGAGAGGCGTCCAAGACGCCCATAAGACGCCCCTGTCTAATGATCCATGTCAGGGGTGTGCCGACGTGTGCGGGGCGGTGGGATGCAAGCCCTGTCTCTGGGGCCATCTGTTTTGGGGCACGATCAGTGTGAGGAGTGAGTCGAAATACGCCGGGGACTCTATGGCAACCTTCCCACTAGGGCAGCACGTGGAACTACATCCTTCTGGAGCGCGGTCTGTGTGAAGGGTGCGCCGAGACGGGCGGAAGGACGCGTTCGAACTTTGTTTTTGGCATTGTAAGTGGAGCTTCCGGGGGGGAGCGCGGTCCGTGTGAGGGGCGTGCCGAAATTGGCGGGGCGACGTTACGTGATCCGCGTGATTGGGCTTTTTCCACCTCGAGTTCAAAACATTTGTGGGTCATTACTTCAGTCAAGGGCTGCGGCTTGCTATAGCCTGGGGTGCGCTTCCCGCCCCCACCGTCGCGGTTCGTTTCGCCGCGGGCATTTCGTTGCGAGATTGGTGCCGCGCGCGCCAGGCTCCACCCCTGCCAGGCCAACAAGAGACTCATTGGAGCCCACTTCGGGATCCCCTTGCGGCACCTCTGACGCCACTCTTGGGGCTGCTCGTCAGCCCTCGCGGCTTGCTTTTAGGGCTAAGAGGGCGCTTCCTTGGGCCCTCTCTTTCTAACGCCATCTTCTGGCCTTCTTGGGGCGCCTCTTGGGTCCTTCCTGTGCCCTGTTCTGGGGCTTGCTTGGAGCTCCTTGGGCCACGCTTGGGCCCCCCTTGGATCCTCTCTCGGTGAACTCATTGGCTGTTCTTGGGTGCCCTTTGGCCCTGCGTGGTGCTCCCCTTGGGTGCTCTTGGGCTCTTTTTTGGGCGGCTCGTCCCTGGGATCTCTGAGTTCCCGGAATCATGCCCTGTTGCATGTGCAATTGCATCCCTCCGTGATCCACATGGCACTGGCGAGAATTGCTCTACTTTGCTTTGATGTGCATTACATATGCGTTTGCTTGGCTACCTTGTGCAAGTAATGCTTCGAGCCGCATTGGACCCGCATCTGGGATGGCAATGCGTTGCACTGCGCTGCCGTTTTGGTAACCCCATTGCTTTCATTGGTGCACATAGCTTTGCATGGTGTCCTTGTCGGCAATTCGTAGTTCCTGTGCCCACGTTATAGATGCGTGAGTGGGTAATCACTTCAGAGGATAGGTGACCTTGTCAAGGGCTGGGTCTAGCACATCTATATTTTTCCTTTATATATATATATATATATATATGTCTATGTCCCCAGCGGCCCTGGATGGCGCAGCCCCCCCTGGGAAAGCCTCGCGGGAAACTTGCGTAGTCTCAAAGCGGCCCCATGCGCGTCGCCGTCATCACCCTGATCGTTTCTCCGTGCCTTCCTTCGCCGCCTTCTCCGCAAACAACTTGCGAGCATATGTTGGATGTGTATGTGTTGCATGTTGCGTGTTTGGCTATACGCATGCACGTGTATAATATATGCATTGCGTGTGCGATTGCATGCTTGTCCATGTATATACACGTATACATGTACAACGCACATACATGTACTCTAGCGCACACATGTGCGTATACGCATCAACACATGCTTGTGCATATCGTCGGCATATATATATGGATGTGTCGTTGCCGGAACTGTATACACACTTGATGGTAGACAGGCTGCGCGACGCTGGTATTGGTTATACGCTTGGAACGAATGGCATGAACTTGTAACGCTGTTTTGTCGTAAGCGCAATGCGCGCACACGGCGAACCAGATGGACGTAAGCGCGCGTGCAATTTAGCTACTTGTCAGACCAAGACTGCATTGCCGCCAGCTTGCCCGACTACGCCGTCACGTGGGGGAGGCAATACGCGTAGCATTTGTTCCCCCGGGATGAGAAAACAACGGGGCATCACGGCATCGTGTTGCCCAATCGCATTAATTTGGAAGGGTGTCGTCGTGCAGAACGTGGTAAGGTGATCCAATATCATTGTAAGAGCACGCATGTCAAACAAATGCACACTTGCCATGTGTTCGTCATGCAGATGTTCTCATTGTTGTCTGCACGCGTCCAATTCCCTGCAGCAGTGTGGTTGAACAAACTGGTGCCTCAATGGCGCTAGGTTGACGTGGCCACCCCGTATGTGTTAGCCGATCGGCCGCGTTCATGTTGCAGCGCGGTGGGGCAACGGACTGCCCGCGCAACTTGCGGATAAGATTTGTTATGATGTTGCTTCCTTCCTTTGAGCAAAGCCATCTACCTCGTCATCCTTTTCCCAATATTCAGCTGAAGAGCTGGCAAAAAGCCCCTCTCGGGGCCAGCGCCTGATCTACCGATAGATCCCTGGGTTTGGGCTTCCAGCGCGCTGGAATCCCAAACCCAGGGACCAGCCGAAATAGAGCATTGAACACACGGCTGCCCCTCGGCAACGTATTCAACAACTTTGATATTTGCACTGATCGTTGGGCTTGGCACCCTGGGCTCAAGTGGAGTCCAAATTCCAGGGGTCAGCCTATGTGGAAAAAACGAATTTGAAAACTTGCGGCCCACAGCCAGTTTCTTAAGCATAGAAAAATGCTAAAACCAACTATGTCGGCTGATCCCTGGTTTGGAGCTTCTGGGCCAAAGTGAATTCCACAATTTTGGGATCTGCAGAAATAGCCAACATGCCAAACATGTCAAGCAGTTTAAAAGTATGGTGGCTAAACAGGTAACTGTTGCTATTTCGTCTGATCCGTTGATTCTGCAATCCAGCGCGATGAGTATTTTTCGGGTTTTGCAAGCGAGGAGACAACAGTAGGGACGCCGCCAAAGATGAAACAGATGCGACAGAAGGAGCATCGAGGCAGCACCTGGGAACTCGCCGATTGGGGGTACGTCCGAAGGGGGCGGGGGGTGGCTGGGAAGTCACCCTGGTCGTCCGTACCCTCCTTCCCCTCCTCCCCCTCTCCTCTCGCTGTCTACGCGCAATCCTCGGGGAAGACGGGAGGATGGCGATGGCTAGGAGGGGGACGACGGCGAGAACGACGGCGGCGACGCCGACGACGAGCTCAAGGTAATGGAAAAAGAGGAGGAGGATGAGTACGAGGAGGAGGACTAGGAGGAGGAGGAGGAGGAGGAGGACGGCGACAAGGTAGAGGAGGAGGATGACGAGGATGTGCAGGGGGTGGTCATGCTCAGGACGAGCGAAATGTGAAGGAGGGGGACGACGACGACGACGACGAAGACGACGACGACGACGTCGTCGACGACGACGACGACGAGGGGGACGTGCCTCCCTCCTCGTGCCGCCTCCGCTGCACCCGTGCTCGGCGGAACCCACGCAGGGAGCTGATGGAGCTGGCCAGCAAGCGGCGCCGGGTGGAGCTGCACGACATGAGGCGGGCGGCCCGAGGTGCGAGAGAAGGTTTCAGATCTGGGCGCTGAAGGCGTCTTCGCCTGGTGTTGGGCCCTGGGGCCCTCACGGACAGATCTGGCTCGAGAAATGTTACAGAAGGGTGGGGTCCAGGGCACCCATCAAGGAGTGTATGTTTCAATCGTGGGGTTTGTCGTGCATTTTGTCTCCCATGGTCTGTGGTCGGGCCCCCTGGACCATCAGAAATGGCTCCGGACGGGGAGTCACCCACGGGGCGGTGGCGGGGAGCTCTGGGGCCGCGGATCTGAAAAGCCACATCATCAGATCTCTGGGGAGTATGATGATGATGCTACAGATGATGATAATTATCGGGATGATGATGCTGATGCTGATGATGATATTAATGATGATGCTGATGATAACGGTGATGAATTTGCCTCTGTCTCTCGAGGACCCCACCTGAGAAGCAGCGCACCGCAATGCACCTGCAGCGCAGGGAAGTGCAACGCAGTGAATGCAGAGCGACGCAACGCATAGGAACGCGATGCATCTGGAAGCAGCGTGGGGCAGTGCAAGGCAGATCGCCGCAAATCAAAGCGAGCGCAATGTAATGCACTGAAGGGGTCCAAACCCGGATGGATGTTGAGAGGCTTTGGTGAAAGTGGGCCGCCGCTTTCGCCAGGCGGCCCGGTTCTCAGGTTCTGGGCTCTTGGTGCTCAGTCAGGTTCCCGGTGGAGAGTTGGGTGTATGCCTTTGCCGAGACGTTACATCAAACCCGCCCACCCAAACATGATGTGTTTCTTCTTTGTAACCCTTTATGTTATAAATCCTATCCTTCAGACGGGGGGCTGCGGCCGAAATCAGCAATTGGGAACTGGTTGCAGTTTCCATTTCGAGTTGTTCAATATGTGTGATTACAAAACTGCGTAAGTCTATAAACCCATGCTCGAGTACTGATGGCGGTGTTGGTAAGGATTGAAGGCGCCCGCTCGTGGTGGTATGATAAAGTCCAATGTGGAGCTCAGAGCAATCACCCAGCGGTCCTTTGCCTTCTCTCGTGCTCACTCTCTCTCTCTCTCTGCGTCTCTCTATATCACTCGATATTGTCTCTTTCCCCCCTCTCTCCCCCTTTACGTTTCCCTCTGTGTCTCCCTCTCTTTCTCCTTACGCTGTCTTCGCGGGAGGGAACATGTGTTGGGGCGCGCTTGCAACGCAGGGGGAATTATGTTGAGCCTAGCGTACAAACTAAGCAGTCGCCTGATTGACTAACGTGCAGAACGCATGTGAGACGTCTGGTGTACACTGGATGTTGGCCAGGGCCAAAACAAACGGAAGTTTAGCTTCAAGCTACGGTCGGGGACTGGGTAGCGTGTCGCTCTGCTGGCTCTGGCCCACCATGCTTCGAAGCAACACGCTATCCACTTCCCAGTGCGCAGGCGTCAACGTCCTGAGCTTTTCCGGGCCTCCCGCCTCGTGGAACGGAGCGACACGCTACCCGCTACAATGAATTGCGTGTTGCCGGGGCCGCCGCCGCGACACGCTAAGCAAAATATCCTGACCGTACCTCGCGGCTGGTGGGTCAGGCAGCGTGTCAGAGGCCTTGGCAGGCACTTGTCGGCGTGATGCTTACCGCTTGTAATGTGATCTTGCAGAAACGGAGTCTGATCCTTCGCGCTCATCAGAGTGAGGGGGGCGAACCGTTAATCACTGTCCCTGGGCGCGTGGTAGAAGTGGGTTCCGCGGTGCGGATTGTGTTTGCGATTGATGATGCCCCTCCCCGGGCTCGCACCCGTAATGTGAGAAGAGGGAGTTTTGCGCCTCAGATTGCGCCCCTGGCATCCGAACTACAATAATGATCATGTTAAGACTGTTCGTTCTTACTTGCTTGCGTGCCATCCAACATGAATGTCCCAAATCCTCGATACCCGCCCTCTTCGTCTTCGAATGTCGCCCCCTTGGTATATCTTCCTTACCTGCTACGTGTAGTTGGCGCAACCCCTAAAGCAGGGGAAGGAAGGGTGGAGGGAAGAGACGAGGGGGAGGGAGAAGGATGAATCACGAGAGAAATCTGCAGGACAGGGATTAAGAACCGAAGTACAATTGGTAAAACCAGACGAGCGGGTCGAGCGGGCGCACCCTAACGGGTAGGTCGGGAAGGTGGGCCCAGACGGCCGGGTCGAGCGGGCAGGTCGCCGAGGCGTCAATCCAACACACGAATCGCAAGGAGGCTTCCGACAGCGCGATTCCCAAGTAAATCGTTAGGACATCCAGAGCGAGAGCGTGATTCGTGAATGTTTGGGCCACGGCGCCGCAGCCAATTGAGAGGAAGTGCCCCTAGTACCCCTCGAGAACGCGATCATTGAATCAATCAGGGAAATGTCCCGCGCGAGAACGCGGTTTTCAGATGAACTATGAAGACATATCCAGCGGCATCCGTTGTCTTCGTCGTTCGGGGCCGAACAACGCATTCTGGGACCCAGTATTTTCTTTTGTAAGAGCAAAGTGCGAGCCCAGGGAGGAGCATTGTAGTTGAAAAACGCAATGGGCAACGAAGGGGGCGATCAACAATAGTTCTTCTGTAGACATTGGAATTCAACGGCTCCCGCCTGATACTTCCTCACATGTTTTCCCCCCCCCCGAATTCGCGCTCTCATGGCGGACTTCCCACAATCTATCCATGAGTCGCGCTCTAAAGTAGATTTCCTTCTTAGGAATGATTGAGACGCCGCGCCCTCGACACTCAGGCATCAGGCTCTCGCTATGGACTTCCTCACGGTTCGCTGGGCGATTCATGCTGGATTGACGTTTCAGCGACTTGCCCGCTCGACTTGGCCGTCTGGGCCTGCCCGCCCGAGCCGCCCAGTAGGACCCGCTCGCCCAATCCGCCCATCTGTTTCTGTCACTTGCCTTCTGGCTCCACCCCCCCTGCTAATCTCTCTCGTGCTCCATCCTTCTCCTTGCCACTTGTATCTTCTCTTCTCTCTCCCTTCCCCGTTTTAGGGGCTGCGCCAACTACACACGGCATGTAAGGAAGACATGCCCCCATAGACATGTTGAATGAAACGCGGGCACATGAAGGCGAACAGTCTTGCACTTCTTGTTGTCGACGTCCCACCCGCGACCCGCCTCGCGACCCAACTCGCGACCCGCCTGCGACCCACTCGCGACCCACCCCGCGACCGCCCCCTCATTCTTATTTGCAAGTGCGGGGCGCTACGTATTGTACTGCTGTTTGCGGAGAGCCTTGCCACCGTGCCAGCTCAGCAGAAAGGAGGTTGAGTTTAAGGCCCATTCCAGTTCAGCGCTCTGCTTATAGTGGCGCGTGTCTTAGACACACCCCCATCACCCGCAGTCTCCTCCTACTGCTTCCTCCATCTCCTCATTTTCTCCTCCCCCCTCCTCCCATCTCCATTTCGAAGGCTTCTTGGGAGATTATTCTAGGCCTCCTCCTTCATCCCCTTCTCCCTCTCATTCTCCTGATTGTTCCTTCTCTTCGTTCTCTGCCCCTGCCTCCCTCCTCTCACTTCTCAGCCGCTGTCGCTGCCTGCGCCTCCGCTGTATCAAAGTGCTAAAGGCTTGGATGAACCATCTTTGGAACGTCTGGACGGATCTTGGGGGCGTGTCGGAGCCCTCTTGGGCCATTCCTGCGGATATCTCGAGGAATCCCGATGAGATCTCCGGCTCGAAGAGCGTCCGAAGCAAATACAGTATTGCTTTGCCCGAGGGTGGCCTCTTCATGCACGCGTTGGAGCCTCATTGGGGCCATGGGCTGGAGATGCTGGAGCCGTTGGGGACTATGTGGTCCGTCATCAGGTTGACTTGGTGGGTCTTGCAGCTGTTGGGGGGCGGTATGTGATTGTCTTGGAGCCTTCTGGAAGCCGAGAAGAACGCTGGAGAGCAAGACCATGCTTTGGGGGACGGGTTGCAACGAGAAGAGCCGTCCGTAGAAGTGCTACAGCAAATGTCCCAAGCAGTAGTGAAGTTTCCTTACACGGCCCAGCGTGCCGTCGGCACAGTGGTGGACTCAACAATTGTCGTCGAGATGGCGATCGAAGGAATAGTATCGCCGATCATCCATCTGCCCCGTTGCCTGATGCCTAGTACCGAACACGAACCCATTGTTCCTTGTTGTTTGCATGTTGGGTGCAATGTTGTTGAGGTTAACCCGTCAGGCTGCATTTCCACGATGGTCGAATTCCAGCCTCGACTTTGGTATAAATTATCATTGGTCGAAGTCTGGACATATCCTGCCTAACCCAGTTTGATGATGCTGAGTGCGGATCAATCCTTCGCTGAATCTCTGGCTAGGTGGTTGGGGGACAGAGATGTCTGTATCCATTGCCTCCTTCAGGCAGGCCCATGGCCAGGATGGATCGCCCCACAGCGTTCAGAAAACCTTTGAAACAGCCACGGCGCCCGATAGATCCTCCAGACCAGTCAGCCCTCAGAGACTCCCGTTTCCTCGTCGTCCGTCTTACACCTGGGGTCCTGGGAGGTCGGCTCCCAACTTGGTGCATCGGAACCCCGAGCCACTCCTCCCGACAGCCATGCCACTTCGCCCGACGGCTCGTTCGGGCCCCCCACGCGCGCCGAGTTCAACCCCGAACGCGATCCGACCCCGCACGCCCGCGAAGGAGAGCCCAGGCTTACCCCCCCCCCAGCGCGACCCCCCCCCCCACCACACCCTTGCTAAACAATTCGGAGCACACGCCCTTGCCTCGCAGGGTTTCGCTGCCCTCGCGCGCGCGCAGCAGCCCACGGCAGGCCGACGAGGCCTCGGATCGGTCGTGTTGCTTCCGTTGCCGTCTCGGCTCCTCGCCACGGAGGCCAGCCTCTGCGACGGCGGTGCTCTCGAGCGCTCGGCCTGCAGTTCCAGCGGAGCCGTCGCCCCTGTCAGGCCCAGACCCATCCGAGGATCCTCGCGACGTGTGCTGGCCCAACGCGCGTGTGCCGTTCAGCTACGCCGACAGCGCGCAGCCCGTGCCAGCCCTCGTGACACCGCCTACGTCGCATCGAAGGGCTTCGGTGGACAAGCACGCGTTGGCGCTGACAACACGCTCCGAGGATCCTCGTCCCCGGTCCAGTCAAGTGGGGCCCAAATGCAAGCCGTTGAGCGTGACCTCACGGAGCCCCCCGACGTCGTCGAGGCCCGCGTGTGCGCGAGGATCGCCGAGCTTCGGGCCGAGCTGATCGCGGAGGTGCTGGCGGAGGTGCGCCGGGACCTGGAGGACACCGCATCGGGTGGGCCCAGAACCGGGAACAATCATTCTGGAGCGTTCCGCAACGCTCTCAAAGCGTTTTGGAGTTCTCCAGAACGGCCGAGGCGCCCAGTACATCCTCCAGAACCGTGCGATCTCAGCGATTCCCGATTCGATTTATCCCGGTCCGATTTTGTGCCTGTCCTGGTTTCGTTGCAACCCTTGGGTCGGCAAGCAGGTGCAGGGAAGCCGGGGAACGTAACATAGGCCAGCCCCGTCCAAGCTGTCGGGCCCTGGCCAGTTACGCTATATAACTTTCCTGCCCCTGGCGAACTCATCCCACATGCTTCAGGCTCGTTCCAGCCCCTGCCAGTTTTCCCAGCTATGGCCACTCCACCTTTCGCAGAATTCTTGACGCTCCGCGTATCCCACCAGTCTTATCTGGCACTGCGCCCAGTTGCCGTTGATTGACACGCCCTGTGGACTTTTCCTTGCGGGCCGCCGAACAAAAAAAAATATCCCCACCAGTGACCGACCCGCCGCCTGCGCCTTCGCTTGCGGCCGCGACAAAAAAAAGTATCCCCACCAGTCGCGCCGCCCGGCAGCTTAGGCAGCTTAGGCAGCTTAGGTTCGGCCGCCGGTCCCCGTGCGCTAGGCAATTCGGCTCGTGCGTAGCCCGCCCGACCTCTGACGCTGCTGGCGCGCTCGCCTGCGGCCGCGACAAAAGTATCCCCACTAGTCAGTGTTTGGACGGCTTTCGACCCGCCTCGCGAGCCTGTTGACCAAAAAAGTATCCCCACCAGCTATTTGCCTTCCCGGTGGTCTCGCCCCTGGGACGGTTGCACTTCAGCCGCCAGGAACACCTGGCACCTCTTGCAGCTCAGCCTTCAGTCCCCGGCGTCGCCCAGCGTCCCTCGGCGGCAGCTCCGGCGGCCGCTGGCTCGCGCGCTTTAGTAATTAGGTTTGGCTTGTAGCCCGGGCTGACTTCGGACGCACCGCCTGCGCTTCCGTTTGCGGCCGCGACGAAAAAAACGTGTCCCCCCCAGGCGCAATTAGCTCGTAGTTTGCTTGCTGCGACCTTTGACGGCCCCTGGCGTTCTCCGGTGCGTTCGTGATCAAAAAGGTATCTCCACCAGCCCATCCGGAAACGATGCTCATGAGAGCTGACGGGGGGAGAGGAAGAGGCACGCATAGTCAAACAGCGAGGGAGGCTTGGGAGGTTCCGTGGCCATCTCGAGCCGTCATGGAGCGGGGCGTTTGGGAGCATCTTGGGAGCCATCTTGAGCCAGTTTGGGTTATTTGAGTCATCTTGGTGGTCATCTTGGGCTTTCTGAGGCCGTTCGGGGGTCTCTTGGGTGCCTTTTTCGGGTGTCTCTTGGAGGCCTCTTGGGGTTTCTTGGGGCGCTCTTCTGGGCCCTCTTGGGAGCCTCCGTGGGTGCCCTGGAGGGCCTTTTGGGGCCATCTTGGAGGCGGTCAATCAACATAGGGGGTTCCCTTATCGCCGTCCCCCTTTCGGGGGCCCACGATCCTTGTGAGGGGTGCTAAAAGTTGACCGTCCCAGGGGCCGAAAAATGAAGCCGTAACTCGTCGCGACCTCTTCCCAGTAAAACCTCACTGAGGGGAGGGGGGGGCTCCCCTCCCCGAAGGGAAGAGGGGTTGTGGAAGAGAAAAGAGACCCTCCGTAGACCACCTTTCGCCCAAAAGGTTGGTGGGAATTACCCCGTCCACGATGTATTTTTGCTACCATTTTGGTCTCTGGAGGCACGGTTCGGGCCGGGGGACCGCCACACATCGATCCAGGATACACTTTATATATAGAGAGAGAGGGAGAGGAAGAGGGAGAGAGAGAGAGAGAGAGAGAGAGAAATAGTGTTTAATTGCCCGAGTGTTCGTAAAGACCCGTTCCGGGCACGAGCGCTGACAAACATTTGTCCGCCTTGATGTTTTCGCAACCCGAAAGGGTCTGGTGTACGGGTTTTCCCTTCGTTCTCCGAGGAAAGGGTGGACGCGAGGGTGGCCGCAGCGTGCGCCGCCGGCGCGGCAGCCAGTCAGCAGGCGGGCGAGACTCAGCGCCACGCGGAGCCGATTGGGAGTTTGCAAACTCGCGACGCGCTGAAGTCTAAGGTCCAGGAACATGTCCGCTATACACCGTTGTGTGCGTCCATCACTTACTTGCAAGTGGTGGCGCAACGCAGTGTACCTATAACATTTCCCCTCATCCGAAGTGGGGTTCTTAACGTTTCTGCATCCCCCACAGCGCAGGATCTCCTCTCCACAATTACTCAATATGAATACTACTCCCCCTCTTCCCCGGATGACGGCTTGAAAGTATTAGCCACCACCCCCCGCGTATTGTTTTTTACACACAGGATTCCCCGGAGTTAGGTTTTCGCTTGCATTGTTTTCCAAAATGCTGCTCTCGCTGAGGCGCTGGCCTCATTTTCGGGCCCCGCTCGTTCCGAATCGTGCTCCCGCTGCAGCGATGGCCTCATTTCCGTGTTCGCTCGTTCCGAATCGTGCTCCCGCTGCAGCGCTGGCCTCATTTCCGCGCTTCCGCTTGTTCCGACTCGTGCTCCCGCTGCAGCGCTGGCGTCATTTCCCGTGCCATGCCGCGGCATGCAATGCAATGCAATGCTAGGTTGATGCGACGCTTTGCGGTGCTCTTCTACGCCATGCCACGCCGTGCTCCACAATGCATCGCGTACCCTTTCGGGATCATTGCCCTGCTCGAGAACTGAGTGTGCGAGCAGAGAGGGGATCTACGCCATGGTAAGGGATGGGAGGGAGGGGTAGGATGTCAGATATGACGCGAGCGCACCTAGGTTGCCTTTTCCTCTCCCTCTCTTCCCCGCTCACACACCCACACACCCACGCGCTCATCACCATCATCATCATCATCATCCTCACCATCCTCATCATCGTTGTCGTCGTTGTTTTCGTCGTTGTCGTTGTCATCATCATCATCATCGCCCTTTCCATCAGCATCATCATCATCGTCACCATCATAATCATCATTCTTGTGATCTTCGTCATCGTCATCGCCATCAACTTTGCCATCGTCATCAGCATCATCATCCTTCCCCACATTGACACCCCGCGCAGGGACACACCGACCCGCTGGCACACTCCTCATCATCACCATCACCATTCTCGCCATCATCATGCACCCACCCATCAGACGGGAACCCCCTGCCTGTGGGGCCCGCACTTCACGTTGACAATCCGATGCCAGGCATACCAGTGAGCATCCCACGGAGGCAACTTGCAAGGAAGTCTCAGGCGGGAGCCCCCTCCCTTTGGGGACCCGCATTTCATATTTGTTAGTGTCATTGTAACCCGAGCGGGTCATCGGCAAACTTTTTCGGGCATTGCACTGGAGCCCCCCAGCGGGGCAAATCGTGAGGATGACTCGAACGGTGGCCTTGTGTGTGAGTGAATTGCGAGGACGTCCCAGGCGGGAGCCCCCTCCCTAGGGGAGCCGCATGTCGTGTTTGCAATTCGAGCGGATCATCGGCAAATTCTTCCAGGCATAGCACTCGAGCACCCCAAGGGGGCAAATCGTGAGAATGTCCCGAGCGGGGGCCTCCTTTGATAATGACTTGCAAGGAAGTCTCAGGCGGGAGCTCCTTCCGAATGGGGCTCGCATGTCATGTTGGTAACCCGAGCGGGTCATCGGAAACATCCACGAGGCACCGCACTTGAGCATTCATCGGGGCCGATTGCCGTGCGCCTCTCGGGGTTCACCCTGACGCGCGCGTCCTACCTGACATCCACGCTGTCGCAGGGCCAGACGCTGCGCAAGGGCGTCACCATCGACTGCGCCAAGGACGAGGACGCTCGTCGCACGGGCATATCAGACGGGCATATCAGACGAGCATTGGTGGCTGCACCTCTACGTCATGATCTCCTGCACCAAACGCGTGCGGAACATGCCACTCTTGCGTCCACCCACGCGAGAGTTGCTCGAACGCGGGCCGCCAGCGTCCCTGCAGAAGACGCCCCGCGGAGTTCGACTTGAGAGCGGCGGGCCCCAGGGCTGAGGCGGAACAACTTGCGGCAGAGGCGGGCTTCGCGCTGCCCCCCGCCTGAGCGCCGGCGCTCTCGAGACCAGCGGGGTTGTCCCGACGGGCTGCTCCCACGCCTTAGCGGCTCGCGGGGTTGCTCCAGCGGCCTGGCCCGCGGGATTGCGTCGACGGCTTCGCGATCCGACCATCGGCGAACGATTTTCTTGTCTGGCCGTGGCGGCGAGGGCGCCGAGGAACATCCGCACGCGTTCCCCAGCTTGAAGGAAGGAGAGGTGCACGAGGAGAACAGGCGGGAAGGGGATGATGAGAGGGAGAAAGAGGAAGAAGTTGAGGACGAGGAGGGGCAGGAGGAAAATGGCGAGAAGGACGAGGGGGGAAAACATGGGACAAGGAGGGCGAAAACGACGAGGGGGCGGAGGACGAGTTGGAGGAGGACGAGGAGGAGGAGGGGGGAGGACGAGGAGAAGGAGGCGGCGCAACACAGGACGAAGATGAAACAAAAAGTGGCAAGCTAAATCGATTCGCGCGGGGTCCCTCCGTCGGAGTATGCATGCGCAACTTGTCGCCCGGAGAACGGGCCAGAACATTATATTGCAGTGCGTTGTCCTGCGGCGTTTCCGCGGGCCCCAAGGGACGGGGCCCATATACTTAGTTCACTTACGCGTTGTTCTCATGTTCTAGCAACAAGCAGCTGCATGAGCAAACATTGTCGGAGTTTCTCGCAGATTTCTTGGGCCCGCGGTCGGCCCACTCCACGCACCCATGGCGGCGCTTCTGGAAACGCTGGGGGCGCGCCGGGTGTTGGAAAGTGGTCTCCAGCGCCGACCCAACAAACTCAGGCGGACCTTTTTTGGCAGTTCCCGACGTAGTTTTCGCACTAAGGGGTCCTCGTTTCGATTGAAAGTAACGTGCTGGGTTTTCGCGGCTGTCGCTTGGTGCATGGCTGCGGGCAGTTCGATATTGTGCGCCCTGTGCGCAGGCTCTATTTTCGGTTTTCGCGGTTGTCGCCACGTGCCCACCAGTGGGCGCCTCGTGGTCGCTCCGTGCGCTGGCTGGGTGTGCCTGGTTTTCGCCCGCGCCCTTGCGTGCAAGCTTCGGTGGCCGTATCGCGTGTTGGTTGACATTTGTGGATTTTTGCAAAAATTGCGCACATAGCTCGCACCACGTGGAATCCTTTTTTGTTTTCGAAAGAGGTAAAGACTCCACAACCCGCCCAAACCAAGACTTCACCGTACCCTTGTTGACGCTGCAGTTGACGGATGGCTGTGCATAGTCATGTATGTGTCATTCGGTATCGCCCCATCTCAGGCTTCCGGCATCCTCCCAGACATCCTTGTAAACATGCCACGCGAGCGCACCCATTTCATCATCATACATCAGTTGCCAAGAACCCTTCGCGAAACAAGAAACTACATGCGCGCACATGTCGACGGACAACCCAACACACTAGTTATGCGCATTCGTCAACAACACATACGAATTATACATTTGCGCCCTCTCAAGAAACTAACGGACCCGCGCGCACTTGTTTGAAACATCTACAACATTCGGATGGTGGCAATTTCGTCCAGATACCGCAGTATTCTTTCGCCACGTGGTGCATCCGCGTCGATGTAGCATGTGCTTGGCGCACGAAGCCGTAGCAGATCATACCATGTGGGGCACACGCGCGCGCCGCCACGCGCGCGTGTCGGAATAATGCCAAACACACATCAAAACCGAGCGCACTTCACAAAACAATGTATTAATTCTGCGCACGCTCGTTTCTTCATCATCCTCACCAGCGCCATCGAATCTCCGCCTTTGTCGTCATTGCCAATCGCCGCCATTGCGCCCCCATCACCCCAATCATCTTCATCCCTGGCACATGAACATCGGCATCGCCGTCTTCGTCACCAGCACCGGCTTCGACATTGGCCTTGCCTTCGTCGTCGTCATCATCGCCACCACCTTCGCTATCATCATCATCATCATCATCATCATCATCATCATCATCATCATCATCATTGGACGCACTACGCCGACTGCTTCCCGCTCTGGTCCACCGTGTACAGCCTCATCGGGAAGCGCCCGCCGCCGAAGCGGTTCGATACGCTCGCCTTGAATGCCAAGACGGCCGACGAGCTCAAGACAACTTTCATCGCATACGAGACGTACCACAAGATCAAGCACTCACACCTCAGCGACGCACTCCGGCACTTACAATTACGGCAGCATGATGAACTCAGTGGCCTTACGGATCGCCTCGCGCACGCGGCAGCGCGCCTCTGTCGCTAGAGTGTGGAATTGCACCCCTCGGTGTTACCGGCATCATCATCATCATCATCATCATCATCATCGTCATCATCATCATCATCATCATCATCATCTTCGATGCCGCCGTTGTCGACGTCAGCATGATATCGCGCCCGCCCTGGCCACCGACCGGCCCCGGCGTGCCCGCGCGCGGCCCCCGAGGCGTGCCCAGAAGGTCCCACCAGCAGGCGCCACCGTGGCCGCATCAGCTGTGCCAAACCAGCCGGCCGCCGTGCGCTCGCGAGTGCGCACGCCAGCGCGGCCGTACTCGGAGACGCGCCAGCAAGTTCCAACCTGCAGCCCCAATCGTGGCCCAGCGGGCTTCGCCACATCAGTTGCAGGCGGACGCGCGGGGTGCTTTCGCAAGCGGTGGGGTTGACGACGTGTGAGTTGGCGAAGACTCCGCGTAGACGGCACCACATGTACGCCGCGCCCCGGACATATCTAGAGGATGCCCCCCTGCCGAGGCCAGACTTACACTTCCCCCTCGGCTTTTTTTTCCCATATCCAGTTGCGCTGCCACGCGATTCCGCCACCGCACTCGGTCGGGCAGGGGGGGAGGGTTCGGGGAAGGGGGAGGGGGCCCAAGCTTTGTATTTCGGACCAGTGTTTGTTTGGTCGGCCAATTCACAACGCAGGGACTCGGCCATAAAGACGAGCACATCTTGGGCTCGATGCGTCGAAGGCCTAGACTACTTGTTCGCACAAGGCGAAAGGGCCTGACGCACACCAACCACGGCAAGCGCGGGGGCGGATGCTCTGCGCGAGCGCGCATCCGAGCTATCAAGGGATTGCATGGCAGCAGGTTGCGGCATCGCCCCCCCTGATCCATGCAAAATAGTAGAATGCGTCGAGCACGCATTGCTTTAAAGCAGTGCGTCCTCCAGCAACTTCTCGCAGCAATCACTATGCGGGGACATGCGCGCACCGTCGCGCGCACATGCCACACCCACTCGAACCGGTTGGGTTCTCTCATGATTTCCGTTGCGAGACTCCGCTCAGTGCTTCCATGACAGTGTTAGCCAGCGTGGACCCCACACAGTGTTGTTCTAGCAATCTACGTGGTGCTACTTGTTTGGAGCAGCCATGGTTGGCGCATTGTCTGTGGAGCCATATGCTTGGTACACTCTGCCATCTAGTGTGCCTATTGCAGGTCGGCGTGTGCGGTGTTCCCCGTTTGCCTCGCGACCATGTTCTTCGAAAAGTTGTTGCATTATTGCCTGTATTTTGCGTGGAACAAATATGTGGTGCAATATATGACGTTGTGCAGTCCACTTTGGGCAATCTACGATTTGCTAAATTTGTGTGGTGGAATCTACGTGGTGCATTCCACTCTTGTGAACTTGAACTCGTCATCTCCACTGCTCTCGCAAACATCCCACCCACCCACCCGCATCTTGGTTTGCAAAACCTGTTAAGACCGACTACGACGTCACCGACGACAACGACTAGGACGACACCGACGACGTCTCCGACGACTTCGACGACGACAACGACGCCGACGCCGACGACGACGATGACGACGACGACGCCAACGAAGGCGACGACGAGGGAGGAGGAAGGACGACGACGGCGACAACGACGACAACGACGACAACGACGAGGGAGGAGGGAGGACGGCGACGACGCGAACGACGACGAAGGAGGAAGGACGGCGACGCCGACGACGACAACGACGAGGGAGGAGGGAAGACGACGACGACAACGACGACGACGACGGCGACGAAATTGGAGGGACGACGACGAGACGCCGACGACGGACGACGACGACGACGTGGGAGGAGGAGGAAGGACGACCACGGCGACAACGACGACGGAAACGACCACGACGCCAAAGAGGACGACGACGACGAACACGAGAAAAGACAGAGGACGACGTAGGCGACGACGACGACGACGCGGGAGGAGGGAGGACGGCGACGACGACGACGACGACGACGCAAGAGCGCGCGCGCACGCTTTTGTTGAAAATCCGTGTTGCGAAACCTTGGGTTTTTGTAGGTTCTTTGGACGCACGATTTTGAAATCCTTCCGAAGGTTTTGAAGGTTTTCCGCATACGCCCGCGACGACGCGCGCGTCTGCACTTCGTCCCATTTGTTGCAGGGGAGTCTCGCGACGGCACACGCGCAAGGGCGTTCGACAGATTTCGACATGCGCGCGCGAAGCCCGTTTGGTAGCATTGTGTGAAATCTTGAAAAACCTATGGTTTTCTCGAGATTTCGCAAGAGCTCGCGCGGAAGCTTTTTTAGCACACCAGTGTTGCGAAACCATGTGTTTTTGTATGTTTTTGGGGGGAACTCGATTGCGAAATCCTTCCGGCACCGAAGGTTTTTGAAGGATTTCGGCATGCGCGCGCGACGACGCGCGCGTGTGCACTTCGTTTCATTGTTTGCAAGGGGTTCGCGAAAAAGTGCTATGTTAGAACATCAAATGTCACCGCATAGTGTTTTTTAATAACAAGGGAACCTCAGGGGGGGGAAACCGGCCTAGCTGGGATGGTACGATATCATATTTAGGATGGACGAGTGTGCAGTATATATATATATATGAAATCACATTATCCCAGGGGGAAGCGATAAGTCCGGGAAGGGGGGGGGAGAGTTTATTCTTTTTTAGAAAGGAGAATATCTGGGCTTCTATCTACGTGGAACCATATAGGTGGTGCACTCTATGTGGTGCAAACTATGTGGTGCAATATGCGTGGTGCAATCCAGGTAGTGCAACCTGTGCTGTGCATTCTATGTGGTGCAGTATATGTTGTGCAAATGTCGTAGTGCAGCCTATGCTGTTCACTCGCAATCTGCGTAGTGCAATCTATGAGAGCAAACCGTACGAGGCTGCGACGGCGGCAACCCAGCCGCCAAACAAGACAGGCCCTATCAACGGGTGGCGACGCGTCGGCGACAAGGTCGCGACGGGGTCAACATAGCCGCCAGACAAGCAGACAGGCCCAAACGACGGGCGGCGACGAGGTGGCGACGAGGCGGCGACGGGGGTAACGTAGCCGTTAAAGTCGCAGACAGGCCCAAACGACGGGCGGCAACGAGGCAGCGACGAGGCGGCGACGGGGGCAACGTAGCTGCCAAAGCCGCAGACAGGCCCAAACGAAGGACGGCGACGAGGCGGCGACGGGGGCAACGTAGCCGCCAAAGCCGCAGACAGGCCCGAACGACGGGCGGCGACGAGGCGGCGGCGAGGCGGCGACGGGGGCAGCAAAGCCGCCAGACCAGCATACAGGCCCAGACAACGGGCGGCCACGAGGCGGCGACGGGCGGGCTACGGCGGCAACGTAGCGGCAGAGCGGTTGACAGGCCCAGTTCTTCAGAGCAGCAGTAAGAAGCCCTAAATGCAAGCACTGCGTTGGGAATCGCGAGGGTCTATTTTTCAATGATCCAGCGTGTCTGCGCGAAGACTCAATGACACTATCCAGGTTTGTATCCGAGCGAAGACTCAATGACACTATACAGGTTTGTATCCGATCTTTTATAAAAATGAGCATGCGAAACGCGCGCGGCTTCCATTCCAGAATGTGTGTCCGCATTGTCGCGGCCATCGTTATCGCCAGATCTTTACGCGTTCTTATCATCTAGCGTCATCAACGTCTGCACTTGTCGTGGCTAGGTATGGTGTGTATCCAATTTGAAGTACTTCGGCACCGGAAATCCTCGCAACACTCGCAGAGGAAAGTTTTCGTTTCGTCTCTCGTTCAGTTGTTTGTCGATGGGTCGTTGACGGCGTTGCCCATTCCATGTGGGTCGGGAAAGGTATGCGTAATCGGGCCAACCACTTATGTTAAGTCGTCTCGGTCGGTCAGCTCGCCCGCATTCCCCGAGGCTTCTCATTCGTTTGTCTCATTCAACAACCAAGTACAGTTCGTGGCTTGGGTCCTCGACAATTGAGCGACCCTTGTCGTGTCCCACGCGGGCAAAAGCTTCAGCGAAACACGCGTCGACCAGACATGGAAACTTCGAACCCAACAGGCGGCCACAATGCAAGCGAACTGTTCTCGTATCCAAAACCACCCCGAACAGCAGGACGTCGAAGAGGAGGAAAAGGAGAAGGAGGACGGGCCGGAGATCGACGCCAGCGGGCGGGGGTCATTCTCCAGCACCCAGGTGCAAACTGGATTGACGAGGGCGCCCGCGGTGCAACAATTGCAGGGAAGCTTTTGGTGCGCCGCGACGCACATTGGTTTGCTGTCGGGGGCCCCGTTTCGCCGACGTTGGGCTTGGTTGGGCGCAGGGGCCTTGCTGTTGATTGTCCAGAGCATCTGCGTCATGTCTTTGATCCAGACCACGTTCAGACCTGGGTGCGTCACCAACGCTGATTGCCAGAAGTTCAGCGGGGCGCCGCAGTACTGCGCTGAAAGTCTGTATATGCCCCATGCTAAGTGCAGGTTTTGTTCTGGGCTCCACGAGGCCACCGTATTTTATCCAGCTGCCTGCGGCGAACCCCGGCACCGCGCCAGCGCAGCGTCGCGGCGGGAAGGGTATGCAGCTTAATATTCCCAAGCGGACGTAGCTTCACACCCCGTTCTTGTCAACAGCCTCGTTCACATCGATCTTTCTCCTCGTCCCCGCCCTTGCTGCCGCGGGTTAGTGCGTCTCCGATTGCAGATTTCAGAAGGGTCGTTTTTATTAAGCTACAGAAACCCCACCGGGCAACCAACAGTATTGGAACATTCCATGTCGTGCAGGCTCGATGGCGGATGCTGGCATCGACAACGCAACAGCATTCTGCATGGAATATCCCGAGCATGCGGCGTGCGACGCATGCTACGACCCGTTCTCAAATGGAGACCAGTGGGGATCCGATGGTCCGTGGATGTTGTACGGCAGTGCGTTTTCAAGGATGACGTGGTTCGATAAACTCGCCTTCGCTCTGGCCTCATTCCTTGTTGCACTCGAGATTCTTCGCGAGGTAGAAGACGCCCAGGTCTGCCAGTCACTTTTGCGAGCAAGACGCGGGCCAACTTGTGCTTCAGCAGTTGCCACGCTCCTAATGTGGTACCGGCTCCACACATTCTTGCCACTGGTTTCTCTCACACCGTTGTGCTTGCTTGTTTTAGGCTCCGACACGCAGCAAATTATTTTCAATTCGCTTCAGATCCTTTTCGTTATGGAGGTCGATGACGTCCTTTGGGTGAATCTTCTTGGCGAGGACATCAAGCAGGAGTTGGAGACTGGTCCCTTGCGAATAATGTATGAGGCCGGCAGGGCTCGGGCATGGCAGGATTTATGGCAAGATAGCAGGGCGTTGCGCACATTCTGGTTGACCCTGGCGCCCATCGCCTCGCTGATTGTCCTTCACTTGATCCTGAAAGCTTCTCCCTCTTACGACCCTGGCAGTTTCATTGTTCTTGTTGCCATATCTAGTTTCAGCATCGTCCTGTGCAATGGCCCCAGGAGGCTGCGAGATCTCATGAGCAGACTTCTCGCGCCAGTGGCTTTTGGGATCGTGTGCATGTATGCGTTAGGTCAGGCCTGCACCGTACTTTAACGCAAATTGCCTGGCCCTTTTCCGCTCCGATCGATCCAGTTCAATATCGACTCCAGTCAGCCCGATCTGTCTCGATCCCGAGATTCCGACAATCCGATGCGGTTCGATGTTTGTATGGCGTTCTTGCGCAACTTGATGCGTGCAGCCGAGACCGCGCCGCGAGCAGCCCGATCACAGCCCAATCCTGACTCGATCCAATTTCCCGATCCGATCTTGACTGATCCTGGCCCGCCGGCTCACACCACCTCGCAGTCCCAGGCCTGATGGGCCTGTTTTAAACCACCACCACCATAAGTTGGAGGGGCCGAGGAGGAGGAGGAGGAGGAGGAGGAGGAGGAGGAGGAGGAAGAGGAGTAGCAGGAGGAGGAGGAGGAGGAGAACCCCGTCCCCCTCCTACTTATGGAGGTGGTGACGGAAAGAAAGCCTACCAAGGCCGGCAACAAATTGCGGAGTTGCGGTCGTCACTCCCCCTGGGGAACCTGTCGGCTTCGGCGCCCCTCTCGAGAGATCGTCGGCACGATGGTTCCCCAGAAGGGGTCAGTAGGCAACTCCAGGGACGTTCAATTCGGCATCGGTGCGGGCAAATCCGCCATCGAAAGCTGGCCTAGTGCGGCTAGTCCCTCTTAGTCTGCCTGCTAACCCAGCTCAGTGGCCCTTGAATCTGGCTCAACAGCCCATCGCCGTTCTTGCGAAGACCTCCCAGGCCAGGACATGCCATGCTTGGTTGTTGTTCAGTATGGGGCCCCCAGAGGCCCCGCCGTTTCCCCCAGGACCAGCTTTTCATCCCGAGAAGTCTTTTGACGGTCCCGGAGCCCAGCGAGGGTTTCTTGAGACCGAAATTTGTCCAAAACATGCCGTCGTCATTTTTGTGACACGACGCGAGCATGCTTGGGGGAGCTGCTCCATGAGAAATCAAGCTCCCCCAGTTGTGGCTGGTCACTATCTCCCGCCCGCAGTGCCAAGAGAGTGTACCTCAGCCCGCCCCTCTGGAGGGCACCAACTACACAAACACCGATCCTGGCTGGGCCCACCCATGGCCCAGGATCGATGTATACGCCCCTCCTGGCTGAGCGCAGCCCCGGCCCCAGGCGTCGCAGCCAGGTAAGGGAACCTTTCGTAAGATATCCTCCGTTGGGAGCCTTTTTTTCGTAGGGTTCCCGATCACGGAATCAGGAACTCCCAGCAAGGAATATGACATCCAGCTTTAGGTTGGATCTTAAGCGAGCTGGCTCCAGTGAAATGAAGATCCTATCAGGGCTGGGTCCAGCTGTAGATGGATCTTACTAGAGCTGGGTCCAGCTGTAGTGGGTTTGTATCCGAGCTGGATCCAGATGTACTGGGCTTGCATTAGAGCTGGAACCAGCTGTAGACAGGTTGTGTGCATGCTCACGCGCGCCCTGTGCGCGGCTTCTCTTACTCGGGACATTACTGACTCCCCCCCCTCCGCCGCAACCGCCCCCAAAAAAAAAAAAACGCAACAAAGCAAACGAAAAAAAAACAGCAGCAACAATAACACATAACACCAAACAAAACAAACCACCATCGCATTTGAATTCGGACGTACCTGCCTGGATCATCCCAGGCTTTCGTCGGAGATCGTAGTTTTGCTTGATGTGATTGGTGCTGTTGCTTTGGTTGTTTTGTTGGCCTTCTGCTTTTTCCACCCTTCAGCGTTTTTCAAGCTTGAAGGGTTGAACACGCTGAAGCCGCCCAGGCGTACATCGGGTGTGTCGCCCCTCCTCCTTCTCCTCTTCCTCCTCCTTCTCCTCATCCTTCCCGTCCTCCAGGCGGCAGCCTCGTTCCCCTTCGGAACCCCGCCCTTCTCATTGTCACTATCCTCAATTCCTTCCCGTCTCCTCCTGCTGTTGCCCCTTCTCCGCCATCGCCTAGCCGACCACTGGGCGGTCTCTGTGGCGGTCTTCTGTGTCATGCCGCTCTTTTCCAGCTGCACTTTTGGTGAGATGCGCGCTGTTCGCCTGGCCTCCTTCGAAGCAGTTTCCAAGCGTGTGCAAGCGATTCCCCTCCTTTACCCTCCCCTCTACCTCCATCCAGTCCCTCCGCCCTCCGCCCTCCTCCTCCTCCTCCTCCTCCTCCTCCTCCTCCTCCCCTTCTGCCCCCGAGACAAGACGTAGAGAAACAGCCGATCCCCCCCCAGAACATAGTCAGCGTCTGATCGCTGCACTTCATTCGTAAGCATCGCCTCCCCCATAAGACCAGCCGCCGGCTAGGAACAATGATTGCCCTCCTCCTCCCACCACCCCTGTCGATAAACTCTGGATGAATAGCGCCCCCCCTGAGAACAAATTGCATCGGCTGGTTGCTTGAGTGGCCGGGTGGGAGCACGCTGGTCCATCGTGCGTTGGCCAATTTTCTTTATGGATGGCAATGGGGACTTGTGTTGCGGAGGCACGCGCAATAAACCATGCTGACCAGCCCGCCACTGCCGTTGCGCAGTGGCTTTTGTCAAGGATGCTGAGGGGGTATTGACAGCTGCCCGGCGTGCGCACTGCCACCTGCACCCAGCGAACTCTGCGTGCGTCTCACACCTGGTGCGGCTGGAGCATGAGGCACACGTACGTGGCGCACGTGGAGCACAAGTCGCATCTGGCGCACCACGCGCGGCTGGCGCGCTTGGCACACGTGGCGCACCTCGCGAGCGTCGCACACCTGGCGTCTGTAGTGGCAGCCCGAGACGAGATTGGGCGCGGCAGCAGGCACATCGGATAATCAATTGGCTTGCCAGTGGGTGTCCCGCGAGGGATTCTTGTTCCCGGTAGGCTGTAGACCCAGAGACCTGCAGGACATTCTAGCGAGGCTCACGGTTGACGCAGGGTGCGCCCTTAGGCATCTTACAGCGAGAACTCCTATGGTGCGGGAAGAATGCATCCCCATGAGCGGCATATTCCACACTAGGTCATGGGATATTGGGTGCGCAGATGCCCGATCCAGTCGGGGTCCTGCCCCACTTCTCGTGTATGTCGATGACAGATACCAGAGCAGATGTCATGTCCTGTCCTGTGGCACGATGTATCGTATAGGTTCCGCGCGACTGGAGCCAAAACGGCGGCGATGCAGCACATTGATTTCGTGAAGTGTCCCACTACCGTCTTTCAGTGCAGTTCCAACTTGCAGTCCATGGGATGGCGACCTCTGCCTATGCTGAGTCTCGGTGGTTACTCGTATGGTGGAATGGCAGCCGGGCGCGAGCGACACAGCTTTTGGCGTTGCACAGCTTTTGGCGTTGCCGTTATGAATTCGACCCTCACCCCCCCAGCCTCCGAAGTGTGGAGGAGGAGGAGGCAGGAAGAAGGCAGGGAGGGAGGGAGGCACCGAGGGAAGAGAGAAGAGTTTGGAGGAGGCATGCAGCCACCTCCCACTTCTCCATCCTCCCCAATCCCTCCTCCGTCTTCCCTCCTCTCCGCCACATATCTATGTTTACAAATACGAAGACACCCTCCAATGAATAGTTCCTGAGCCTCGAGGGAGGGTGACGGTGTATACATCGACTTTCTACACTGCCACCCTCCCTGAGGTACATGCTAAGTTCGTTGGAGGGTGTGTGTATACGTTTCGTTGCGTATCCTTCTCTTCAGCCTCCCCATCTGTTCTACACTTTTCCCACGCTGCTGCACGACTTCAGTGTGGACATGAGCGCAGTTCCCGCCCTCCTGCCTACTCATCTTAGGATGCAAATCCGGAGAGGGTGAATTCAGCATCCGCGCTGTTATATCCGCAGTCGAAATACGCCGAATCTGGTTCACGTCCGCTGTAATCCGACTCAGTCGCGGAGCCAGAAAGGGAGGAGGCGAGGGAGGGACGACGACAGGAAAGGACAGACCTGGCCGACGGACAGAGGGACGGGAGACGGAGAGAGGCAGCCAAGCAGGGAGAGAGAGGGGGAGAGGACACAACACACGAGGGGCAGGACACACGAGGGATAGAGGGGGAGGACACAGAGAGAGGGAGGGAAGAGGGAGGGAAGCAAGGAGCCAGAGACAGGGCGGGCAGGAGGGACACAGGGACAGCGGGCAAGGGGGGGCACGGGCCGAGCTCGGCGGGCAACTGGTGAGATGGTATCGGCTCATCTCGTGGGCGAATCCTGAGCTTGATGGGGGCTTGCCTGGCTCAGGGCTCGACCGAAACAGTGCCAATTTCGTGGACCGTCTTCGTCTTGATTTAACTTTGCAGCAAAACGGCGGGACGAAGGCAGAACGAGGGAAAGTCATGCACTACTTGAACGGGTAACGCTGTTTAGGACGAGCCCCGGTCAGGCTTAATGCCCCCTCAAGTGGGCTCAACGGCATTTCATCGTTCCTGCGAAGACGTCTCAGGCGTTGCCACAGGACTCTGGGGGGAAGGAGAACCGACACCACCACCACCACCAGAAGGATCGCCTTCAGCGAGAAGGTCCACGATGGCTTCCTGGGCTGGGGACAGGCTCCAGCGAGAGGGCGGGGGGGGGAACACACCACCAGGGCCAGGGGGGACCCCCCTGGCTCCTCCCGCTGGTGGTCCTTGGGTGCTACTTTTACTAGTTCCTATGACTCGTCCTCCGTCCTCCTTCGCGGTCAGCCCGCCGAGAGTATAACGCAATGGAATGCTGCATCCGCTCTTGTATATCCCTGGCGGAGTCGAGCCCAATCTAGAATAATCCCGTTGAGTCGTTCCTCAGTCCCGCGTAGTCCGGGCTTGTCTCTGGCTTCATCTGGGCTGGTCCGGCTTACGGGCTCCTCAATCGGGTCCAACGGCTTTTCATCATCCGTGTGAGGCCCTCCCAGGAGATGCCTCCCGACTCGTCCTCCGTCCTCCCTCTTCCTCATCCTCCTCCTCCTCATCCTCTTCCTCCTCGTCCTTCCTCCTCCTCCGTCCTCCTCCTCCTCGTCCGCCTCCGTCCTCCTCGTCCTTCCTCCTCCTCATCCTCTGCCTTCTCCGCATCCTCATCCTCGTCCTTCCTCCTCCGCATCCCCTTCCTCCTCCGCGGTCAGCCTGCCGAGAGCGTGGCGCAGTGGAGGGCAGCGGCAGCGGCGGGGATCGGGGAGCAGGGTCGGGGCATCCCTCCTGGAGAGCGCAGCGCGAGGCAGCCCCGAGCCATGCTTCGTGGGAGAGACAGACGGTCGGGCCGAGGTATCGGTTCGAGGTCGGTTCGGGGAGGGTGCCCTGTTTGTTGAGTATGGCACCGTCGGTGGTCTGATTGGTTGGGGTGTTCTGGCCGGCGGAGGGTCTCATGTTCTTGAAGGTTGTCTTTCCGTCCTGGGTCCGACTGTATCCGCACATCCGCGGTCTCGCGGGCCTGCCCCCTGGGCCACGACCCCGCGGATACGGGGCGTTATGTTCGCGGATACCCCGCGCGGAGCGTATCCGCGCGACCGCGTGTCCGCGGGTTCGCGCCCCGGAATCCAGACCGCGAGGGTGCGGACACGGATATGTTCGCCGTTCGTGATTTCGTACTGGTTATCCTTCCCGCATCGCTGCCCACTCTTCGTCCCTGTGCCTTTGCCCACACTCTTCCTCCTCCTCCTCCTCCTATGTACGCAGCTCCCCTCCCCCTTTCCGATGTCGCATCGCATCGCTTTTGTTTTGAGTTACAGGTCAGCTATGACACGCGCCCGCGGATTAAGAACCTATCATCGCCATTAAAAGGGATGGGTGGGAGGGGTCGGATGTCAGATATGGCGCGAGCGCATCTAGCTTGACTCCCCCCTCTCGCCTCGCCTCCTGCCCCAGGCACGAGGACCTTATCCTCCCTTCGCCTCCCTCCCTTCGCCGTCTTACTGACCCTCCCTCCCTTCGCCTCCCTCCCTCTTCCTGACTCTTCTAACTTGTACTCTTCCTCCCTTTCTTGCTTAGCTGCCCTGGAACGCCCATCTTGGAACGCAACACGCACCGTGTGCAGACTGCCCAGGTTGAACACGTTGCGTGTTGGTTCGGCACGTGTTGGCCCACGTCTCGGCGAGCGTACCGCGCCAGACCCACGTTTCCGGTCTGCGCGAGGAGCTCCTCGTTTCCGCGCTGCGGGCTGCGCCGTGTGAGTCGGGGCAGCTCGGGCCCTCCCTCCCTCCCCTGTTCCCCCCCCACCTCGCCCCAGTGGCCCAGGCACGAGCACCTGATCCAGCGCGGCCGCGCAGCGGCCTTCGTTCAGGGGCGCTGGCGGGCCCTGGGCGACAGCATCGAGGACCGCCCACCGCTGCAGGGGAGGACTCCCCCGAACAGGGGCCCCCAGACGGTGTGGTGACGACGCCGATGCCGACGACGCCGACGCCGACGCCGCTGCCGACGCCGACGCCGAAACCTACGCAGCCGACGCTGTCGCCGTCGTCTCCTCGTACTCGTCGTCGTCGTCGTCGTCGTCGTCGTCGTCGTCGTCTTCGTCGTGGTGACCACACCGCGCGGTGACCACACCGCGCGGTGGGCAGACGGCGTGCCGTCTCCTGACGGTCTCGGGGCCCCACGGGGGCCCCGCGGAGGCCGGGCACGGCCGAGAACCTTCTCGGCGGCGAGCCCAGGGGAGCGACAGCCTCCCGTCGTGGGTTCGACACGGGTTCGACAACGTTTCGACATGGATGCAACACTTGTTCGACGCGCTCGGCACGGATTCGACACGGATTCGGCATGTATCGCGGCGCGAGGGGACATAGAAGGTCCCCCAAAGATGCAACACAGTTTGCGGCGCACAGCAGCCCCCTGAAGGGCCCATGTGCGCCCGCAAAGATGGCGCCAGATGGCGCAGGCGTCCTCCCAGCTAGACCCAAGACGGCCCCAAGTCGGCGGAAGGTTGGCCCCACATGGCCCCAAGGCTCCCCCAGAGCGCGCCTGTCGATTAGACGTAAGAGTGGTCCTTGGCCAAAGTGACCTTTGGTGCTGACCCACGGGGGTCCCCCGATCGCCGAGCGCGATGTGTTTGGTCACCGCGCGGCGCCCAAAAGGCCGCGCACCAAAGCTCACTCTTGCCCAGGGTCACTCTTGCGTGTAGCCGAGAAGGGGCAGGCCTTCTCAGAAGGCGGCGGGGCTTCTCAGAAGGCTTGCAAGCCTTCTCCGAAGCCGCAGGCGGCTTCTCGGAAGGCGCGAGTGCTTCTGAGAAGCCCCGCCGCTTTCTGGCGGGCTCCCCGTTCGGGGTTCTCGGGCGTTTTTCGGGGGGCAACGCTTCAGGGGTGGATAGGCTCAGGGGGCGAAGTTTCGAGAGCTCAGGGTTAGATGTATTCATGTATTTTCGTCGAGTCTCGGCGGTTTTCCAGCCTCGGGGTGCTCTCCAGCGGGTGCGCCTCGGCGAGAGCGTTCCAGGCGTGCCCGGATCGTCTCGCAGGACCGCTGGAGACTTGAGTTATGCCCCGGAAATTTATGGGGGCAGCGTCTGGGGGAGGAGTAGGCTCAGGGGGGGCTGCATCGGGGGCCCCCACACGGTGTGATGACCACACCGCGTGGTGAGTCAATGGGGGTTCGGGGTCACCGCGCGGTTTTGGGACTTGAGTCGCTCGCCGAGGACGTCTCGGGCGACAGGGGCCTCCGATGCCCCACATCCGTGCGGTGGCGCACCGCACGTTGAGTTCGCTGGGGATTCCGAGGTCACCACGCGGTCCGTCACCACACGGTTCTTGGGCCCCGAGTCTGACGGCTTCTTGGTTCGAGGTTTTTGGGCGTCTTCCGGGGACAATGTCACTCAGGCGATCGCAAACATGGATTTAAAGGGGGCGTGGATTAGCGACGGGTCCCGTTTCCATGGGAAATCGCGGATTGTCGCCGCCGAGCGAGGCGGCGCTGGCCGCTTTTTGGGGAGGGCACCTCCCCCGATCCATGGATTTGGCGACCGCGCGCTAAATCCATGGATCGCTAATCCATGTTTGCGCGCCCCCGAGAAGACGCAGACAACCTCCCAGGAGGCGCCAGGGCTTCTGAGAAGTCCCGCCGCCTTCTGAGAAGGTCTTCTGCTTCTCACTTCCCCCCCTCGCTCGCCGCCGACAAGAGCGTGCGGATTCGCCATCGGGGGCCCAGCATCGCCGACCCATCGGCGATGTATCGCCGATTCCAGCTCGACGTTTCCTTCCCCTGAGATGGCCCGCCCCTGACGTTCCCCCCTTCGGCATGGGGTGCTCTCCATCAGACGTGCCTCGTCGAGAGCATTCCCGTGGGTGCCAGAGTCATGGTTTGAGGTTTCTGCGTCTTCGTATGTCGTAGGCGGTTCTCCAGTCTCGGGGTGCTCCCCATCAGCTGCGCCTCGCCGTGAGCGATCCCGGGGGTGCCCGAATCGTCCCCAGCGGCCGCCGGAGACAGGATTTAGGACCAGAAAGCCGCCCCGTGAAGAAGTGCAGTTAGGTTTGAGTACGTAGATCGACCCCTCCTGATCAAGGGTGCCCCTGCGTCATGCGTTTCGCGTCCGATGCCTTTGCAATTGCAATCCTGGGGCAACGTGGCCCTCAAGGCTCTCCCTCCTCTCCCGATCCTCCAATTATCCTCCTCCTTCTCCTCCTCCTCCTCATGCCCTCTTTCTCCTGCCCTCCTCCTCCTCCTCTTCCGCACTGCCTCTTCCCTTCTCTACCTCCCCTCCCTTCGCCTCCTTGCCCTCCCCGTCTTCCTGCCTCCTGCCCCTCCCGCCTGCAGAAGCCCCCCATGATTCCCCCAAAGCGTCATCCCCTGCCCTCGTGGCGGGCGGCGCGAGCGCGACCCGGTTGAGGACCGCGGCATGAGGCTGCAGGCCATCCACACTGCCCGAGGCAGCGCCGACGACGACGACAACGGCAACGACGACGACAGAGACGACGACGACGACGACGACGACGACGACGACGACGACGACGACGACGACGACGACGACGGCTGCTCATCGTCACACCTCCTCATCGTCATGGTCTGCAGCGTTTTCCTCCTAACTCCTCCTCCGCTCATCCACCTCACCTCCTGCCTCTCCTCCATCTCCATCTCCCTCTCCTCGTTCTTCTCATCCTCCCCGTCATTATCATCGTCGCCCTCATCACGTCCAACCTTACCCTCGTCCTCCTCGTCCACTCGTCCTCCTCTCCACCCTCCTCTTGCTCCAACTCCATGGCCTCTCGTCCTCCTTCCTCCTTCTCTTGCTCCTCACACACATAGCAATCTGGAGGAATGGAGAGGAGGAGTAAAAATGCGAAGTGATGCGCCGCAGATGTGGTATATAACATGAGAGATGAGAGGAGGCAAGGGGAGAGCAGAGGGAAAACGCATGGCACCGAGGGGGTGGAGAGGGGAAAGAGAGGAGGCGGGTGCGCAGAGAGAGAGGGAGATGGAGAGAGAGAGAGAGAGAGAGACTGAAATATATACTACTAATGCTTTAAGAAGAGAAGGGGTGGGAAGGGGGAGGAGGGGGGGATAACGGGGGGAGGTGATTGGGTAAGAGGCAGGCAGGAGGAGGAGAGTGGAGACGAGGACCCCTGGGAACCTTCAGAGCCACCTGGCCCTAGACATTGGTAGAATTCCGTTAGACGGTTCTCAGAAAGCTCCGTACCATTCCTTCCTCCTCCTCCTCCTCCCTCTCCGCTTCCATTCTCTTCCTCTCCCGTCTCTCCTCCTCCACCTCCTCTCTTCTTCCTCCCTCGGGGCAGGCTGCAGCCTCCCCTGAGCTCAGCGCGGGTTGCAGCACCGCTCAACGATGAGCTGCCAGCCAGACCTGCAGGATGGGCGCTCTGAAGTGTTCTGTGCACTCCAGCTCTGGCTTCGACTTCAGCTGTGGGTGCACAGTGAAGCGCTTTCGGGCTGGCTCACCCGAGTCGGCTTCCCGCTCACATGGGGGTGCCCCCCTTTTCCCATCTTCTCCTCACCATCATCCCCTACCCTCATCTTCCTCCCCAGATCCTCTCCTCTGCCCCCCTCCCTTCCTCCGCTCCCTTCTTCCCTTCATCCTTCCCTTCCTCCTCTTCCTCCCCATCCCTCCCTCCCCTCCCCCCCCCTCCTCGGGGGAGCGGGGCGTGAAGGCCTAGTCAACGAGGTGTACTCCCAGCAGATCCTCGGGCCAGGCGTGGAGTGCGCGCTGGCCTTCCTCATGGAGGCCCTCCGGGTCGGAGCCGTCGTCTCCCCCTCCTTCCTCTTCCTCCTCCTCCTTCCTCCCTCCCCCTCCTTCCTCCTCCCTCCCTCCCACCCTTCCTCCCTCCCTCCCTCCCTCCCTCCCTCCCTCCCTCTCCCTCCTCCTCCTCCTCCTCCTCCTCCTCCTCCCTCCTCCTCCTCCTCCTCCTTCCTCCCCTCCTCCCTCCTCCTCCTCCTCCTCCTCCTCCTCCTCCTCCCCTCCTCCTCCTCCTCCTCCTTCTCCTCCTCCTCCTCCTCCTCCTCCTCCTCCCCTCCTCCTCCTCCTCCTCCTCCTCCTCCTCCTCCTCCTCTCCTCCTCCTCCTCCTCCTCCTCCTCCTCCTCTCTCCCTCCTCCTCATTCCTCTTCCGCTTCCTCTTCCTCCTCCTTCCTCTTCCTTCCCCTCCCCCTCGTCCTCTTCCTCCTCCTCCTTCCTCTCATGACGCAGCTCCTGGGAGGTGGGAGTCGGCTTCGGCGCCGGTGTATCCGTGATCGGGCGCCGGCCCAGTCTGGCATAGTCCCGCCGGAGCTGGCTCAGTCCCGCTGTAATTCGGCGCAGTCCCCGGCCTTCTCGGGCTGAGTGGTCCCTAAGTCGGGCTCAATCGCCCTGAATTTTTCTAAGGAAGACCTCCCAAAAGTTGCTTCCCAGCCCTTCCTTCCCATCCGTCTTCTTTCCTGCCCCATTCTCTTTCGAACTTCCTTCCCCCCCTGCCTCCCCCGCCCTCTCCCCTCCCTCAGCGCGGATGCGGTGGGGGAGGGAAGAGAAGCAGGAGGGGCCTCGTACGGGGGGTGGGATCGGAAGCAGACGGAGAGGGGAGGAAGTAGGTCTGGCGCAGGAGGAGTAGGGGGAGGGATTTCGGTGAAGATACAAAAGAAAGTTTAGCACCATCGATGTGCGCTCTATGTGGTGCATTGTATTGGGAGTCCGCGTGGTGCAAGCAATGTGGGGAAGGCATGTTGGCCCACGGCCGTGTGCTGGGGCGCAAACTATGTGGTGCAACCTGTGGGGTGTAGGAAAATGAGTGCAATTTGTGTGGTGCAAGCTCTTTGATGTAACCTATGTGGTGCAACATATGGGGCTCATTTGAGGGAGCTTGCCTGGAGAACTCACGTCGTCCTGACCCGTGGCGCGCGAGGGAATAGGCCCGCCAATCGCCCCCCCTCTTCCGTTTCCGAGAAATGTGGGAAATCTTGCGATTAATTCCACCATCGCGCGGGACATCCTCAGAACACTGCCCCCCCGAGTCCCCCAAGGGGGCCCTCAGAGAGCTCCTTGTTTTTTGTTGGGGGGGGGAATCGGGAAAATCCGGCGACGAATTCTTAACCAGCGCCCACGCGTGGGACACTTGACTCAGAACGCTGGCCCCCCGAGCCCTCGGCGGCCGATGTGCCGACTTTGCGAGGGTGTCTCGAGCGGGAGCCCCGGACTGGGACACGCTCGGCGCGCCCCGGCGCGCCCCAGCGCGCTCCGGCAGATCCCTGGAAATGGCCCCTGGGGGCGCGGCGCGGGCCTGACTTTCTCACGCGCCCGGTGCCGACTTAGGGAGGGCGTCTCGAGCGACAGCCCCCGACACGGACACGCCCATAATTAGTGCGCCCCGGCGCGCCCCTGCCCCCGCCTGCAGATCCCTGGAAAGGCTCCCTGGCGGCGCTGTGGGGCCTGATCTTCTCGCGCGCGTGTGGGTCGACCTTGGGAGCATGTCTCGAGCGAGAGCCCCGGACGGGGACACGCGCCCGCTGCGACCCGGCGCGCGTCTGAGGGCCTCCTTGGAGAGCCTCGGGTGGCCAGTTTTCTGAGGACGTCCCACGCGAGGGCGCCGGCTTGGAATTCGTCGCCGGACTTCCCGGACTTCCTGGAAGCGGAACTGGGGGGCCTCTGAGAGCCGCCTTGGGGAGGGGCCCCCGTAGACGATGGCGAGGATAAGCAGGGGAGAAAGACGTAGGGCAGCGGAGGAGGGCGAGGAGGAGGGAGGAGGGCAGGAGGAGGAGGTGGAGGAGGAGGAGGAGGAGAAGGTGGAGGAGGAGGAGGAGGAGGAGGAGGAGAAGGAAGAGGAGTCGGCGGCGAGCGAGGGGGGGGAATGCGAAGGAGAAGGCCTCCTCAGAAGGCGGCATGGCTTCTCAGAAGCCCTCGCGCCTTGGGAGAAAGAGGAGGGGGAGGAGGAGTTGGAGAAGCAGGAGGAGGAGCAGGAGGAGGAGAGTTGGAGGAAGTGGCAGATGATGATGATGAGGAGGAGGAGGAGGCGGAGGAGGAACGACCTCCAGGGACCTCACGAGATTCCCTGGGAGGATGTGGAGGAGAAGGTGGAGATTTCCAGCATGGGAGCGGGAGAGGCTGGATGCCACCGTCTTCCGCTCAGTCTCTTCTCTCCCACAAGCATGCGCCCCTTCTTCTCAAGACATAATCGCCCGATCAACCGCAGAGCGGCTGGCTACTCCAATGCTCCGAGAACATGATGTTACCAACCCCACGGCTCCAGCAAACATCCCACCCAACGACCCGCAACATTTCGGCAGCACTGAATTGGCGCAATGGTGCGATGACCTTGGTCACGCAGATCAATGGCTCTGGGAAGCGAGTGATGAGGATGACGACGACATCAGCGACGACGACAATGATAATGGTTACGGTTGTGTCGATGATGAAGAACAGGGCGACGGCGTCGACGATGCCGAATGTGATGGCGATGGTGGTAATGATGACGGCGGCGTTTCTGATGGTGATGGTGATGGTAACGCTGGCAATGATGACTTTGTCGATGATGATGGCGATGGCATTGTCGAGGATGCGGTTGGGAAATTCGCGCACAGATGTTCTGACATACGCCTTCTCCTTCTTCCTCCTCCCCTGTCTCTCCTTAAGTAATTATGCGGCCGTGTGTACATCTTACCCGGTCGGTCACGCGTTGGATTCAAGCAGTTGTATAAGTATGCAGTTTTGCCAGGGTCCCGATTCCCCGGCTGTGCGCCATGGCTCGTCGATCGCAGGTTTGAGCGCTTCGCCAGGTGCTTTGGTTTGCTTCCTCCTCCCCCCCCCTCCACCCTCCGTAGGTGGTGACGTTACCCCGGCCGGCCAATGTTGATCATTGTCGCTGCGCTGCGTTAGAGTTGCAACGGCTCGTCGCTGGGTACGGTGATTGCCCCCGTGAGAGGGGCAGGGGATTGCTCGGTGTCCGCTCCCACCTTCCGCCTCCAAAAAAACATAATTCTGATCGGGGCCACTTTGCTTTATTTCTCATTGAGTGCGGGGGCGCGCGCGTGTGGTTCGCATTGTATTGGTTCACGGATTTTCTGGGTGCGCGATGGTTGCGGAATGATTTCGACATGCGCACGGGTGTGTCACGCATGGTCTCCTGCGACAAGGTGGCAAATAAGTGATGGCTTTCTGATGATATACATGGTATGTAGTTTGATTGCATGCGCTTTTGGTGTGCAGGTGTTTGCTGTAGGCTACGTGGGTAAACAATGAGGAACGGCCGCGCAGGGAAAATATGAAAAGGAACAAGCGATACGCGGACGGGGGAAGCCTTGCGCTGGCATGAGGGCAGAGTTGTGTATTCTGAGAACGGGGGGTCAAACATACATATACATTCTCAGTGAGTTCAGCCTGTGTTGTGCAACCGATGTAGTGGGATATAGTTATCAGTATTCATCTTTGGCGCAATATATGGGGTGCAGTTAACACATGTTCGCGAATCGTGGCCATAGTTGTCAACTCCACTGTTCGCGCAATTATCTTCCCCTACCATTCGCAACTTGTTTTGCACAACCCATGCGGCTGCGGTTGCTGCGACTCCTTGGCACTGGCTGAACGCGGGGGGTCGGTGATTCGGGTGGGCGCTGTATCATGATGACGTCGACCACGACGGCAATGATGATGATAGTAGCGTTTGTGGTGGCGATTGCGACGATGATATCCATGTGTCGTTGATGCAGGTGCGTTGGCATTGATGGTGGCGACCTGCGATGACGATGACGTGAAGCGTCGTCGCTCATGGGGGTGGTGGTGAGGAAGTACGCGCGCGCGTGAGCGTGGGACATTTGGCGTTTTTGTGTGTTGTTTCTGATGACGAGTGTTGTTGGTACCTATGTGTTCGGATAACTTCGTTTTGACACGCTCCTGAAGCCAACGGCGGTCTACATGTTTTTAGCGCGTGCATGGCAGCGGGCGCGTGTGGCTAGAATGAAGTGATGTCATACGGTTTCGTGCACGGCGCTCATTCTGGGCCAAAGCGTATGCACCGCGTGGTGAGATGAGGGTGCGAATTTGAGACGAGATGATTCAAATCGTGTGGTTCCCGTATGGTTCCAGCCAGGGCGCGCGGGCAGGACATCTGCAAGAATTGTGATGATCAATCGTCTGATATTCGATGCTGTGATGCTGACCTGCGACATGTGTGCGCGCGTGTGCATGGTTTTTTGTTGCAATCAACGAGTGCGCGCATATTTTTATTCGAGAAGGGTGAGGTGGGCGTCGATACCGGTCTGGCGGGGATGGTACGATTTTGGATGAACAGTGAGCGACGGGGCAAAGTCATATCATTTACAGGGGCCGAATGGGAAAATTGGTAGAGCCGATCCTTCCAAGGGAAGGAGAATATCACCATGTGGCGAAGTGCATGCGCGGGGGCGACGGGCGGCCACCAGGCAAAAGCCTGAAAGCGCCAGCCAGCGCAGGATGCGTCGACGAGCCGGCGACAGCCCTCGACGGCGAAGGCCCGAGAACGCCAGCCACCGCACGAGGCGGCGACGAGGCGTCAACGGTCAGGCACCGAGCGAAGACCCAGAGGCGCAGGCCAGCGCACCAGGTGTCGACGAGGCGGCCTCGGCCTGGCACTCGGCGGGGAAGCCTGGACGCGCATGCCAGCGAACGAGGCGGCGGCCAGGCGACGGGCGGTCACCGGGCGTAAAACCCCGGCGGGTCTCCTGAGGGCCGCTGGGAGGCTCATTTGGAACGTCTCGGGGGCTTCCAGGGGGGGGGCCTCTTGGGGGTCTTTTGGGGTCTTCTGGAGGTTTTGAGGCGTCTGGGGGGTTATCTTGTTGCGAAGGCTTTCAAATGTCGGCTCGTGTTCCCCATCTGTCGTAGGACTTTGTAGGCCCCTCTTGGTCGTCTTGGGGGCCGTCTTGAGACGATCTATAGGCATTATTGGGCAGTTTTGAGCGCCCTTACGGCCAAGAAGCATAATATACGAAATAAGCGTTACAAGCTAATTGTGCTTCTTGAGCCGGCCCCAAGGATTTCCAAGGCGTTCTACGTGATAGGCCCCCAAGAGAGCGCCACGCGCCCAGGCCTATTGGAAAAGTCACGCGGGGGTTCCCTGGAATGTCCTGGAGCGCTCGAGAAACCTCCTGGCTCGAGGTGCGGGCTGGACCAGGGGTCCTGAGGGTGTTCCTTTCTGCGCCTACGGGACGTTGGCAGTTTACGCGGGAACATATACAATATGTTAACCAGCGAGGGCCCTAGACAGTGATTTCTTGCAATCTGTGTGGTGCGATCTAGGTGGTACAGTCAATGTGCTGCAATATATGGGAGCAGCGCAATGCGCAGCAATGCACAGCAATGCAACACAATGCAAAACAATGCGCAGCAATACAGAGCAGTGCAAACATATGCAAAGCAATGCAAAGCAATGCAAAGCAATGCAAAGCAATGCAAAGCAATGCAAACCAATGCGAAGCAATGCGAAGCAACGCAGCGCAAAGGAACGCAACGCAGTCAACGCAACGCAGTGCGATGCAAAGCAACGTCAGAAAGTGCAAATCGATGCACAGCATATGCAAAGCAATGGAACGAGATGCAAAGCAATGCAGTGCTCTGACAGCAGTATTGCAAAACAATGCCAAGCAATGCAGTGCCATGCATCGCAATGCAATGCAACGTAGTGTAAAGCAGCGCCATGGAATGCAACACAGGGAATAGCTGTGCAAAGCAATGCAACGCGAAGGAATACAACGCCTCGCTCAGGAATGCAACGCAATGTCAATCAATTCAATTCAATGCAAGTCAATAGCACTTGGAGCAAAGCAGCGCAAGCAACGTAATGCAAAGCAGAGCAAGTCCATGCAACGTAATTCAAAACAATGCCATGCAATTCAATGCCGAGCAATGCAAAACAATACATAGCGATGCAAAGCAACGTAGTGCGCTGCGAAGTAGGTCGGTGCACAGTCATGCCATGCAAAGTAAGGCACAGCGATTTCGAGCAAAGCAACGCAATGCACAGCATTGCAGAGCAATGCCATTCTGTGCAATGCAGTGCAAAGGAATGCAAGGCAATGTCAAGCAATGCTAAGCAATGCGATACCGGTGCAAAGCAATGCGAAGCAGTGCGATTATGCGATGCTATGCTATACGTTGCTATGCTTTGCAGTCCTTCGCAATCCTGTGCGAGTGGACGAGTGCGAGTGGACGAGTGAAACTGGTGGCGACAGACGTCGGCGACGGGCGACGACGGGCGGCGACGAGCCGGCCGGACCGGCAGTGGGGCGGCGACGTTATTTTAGAGAGGAAGTGAGGAAGTGAATGAAGGGGGGTGTACGTATATATACATATGTCAGCCAACGCCGAACCCAAACCGTGTGTTTCTAGCCATCAATGTTGTGCAACCTATGTTGTGCAATCTACGTGGTGCGTTCTATGTGGTGCAGTCCTATATGGTGCAATCTATGTGGTGCAATCCATATGGTGCAATCTACGTGGTGCAATTGACTACCCTGCGCCGTGTTTGACCACCTCCACTGCTCGCGCAATCATCCCACCCACCCGCCCGCAACTTGGCTTGCCAAACCCATGCGGTGGCGATTGTGATGAGTGCTTGACGTTGGCTTGTCCATTTTTGCGGCCGCGCCGACCCAAGCACGCGCGCGCAGCGGCCAGCTAGTTTGGCGCACCGACGCGGCCGCGGTGGCGCGAGTCGGCGACTTGGGCGTGCGCGGTATCATGGCACCGTCGACAACGGTAGACACGATGATGATAGTAGCGATGCTGGTGACGATGTTGACAACGACAACGGCGCGGCCAGTGCGGGCGCCGATGTTGATCACGCCGGCGACGATGACGGCGTCCTCGCGTCGGTGATGAAGGTGTTGCCGCTATGCACGACGGTCGCCCAGGGCAAAGCAGGCGTCGCCAAGGGCATAGCAGGCATAGCAGGCGTCGGCATAGGGGGTGCGCAGGGGGTGGTCTCTCACCGCGGCCGCTATCCACGACAATGTCGCAAAGCTTAGTTGGCGCGGCAATTTCTCGACACCAGAGGGGGTGCGCAGGGGGTGGTCTCTCACCGCGGCCGCTATCCACGACGCTGTTGGAAAGCCTAGCAGGCGTGGCAATTTCTCGGCGCCAGAGGCGGTGCGCAGGGGGTGGTTTCTCACCGCGGCCGCTACCCACGACACTGTCGAAAAGCCTACCAGGCGCGGCAATTTCTCGAGTGTGGTTTTGGTGGTGGTTTCGGCGCCCTTCTTCGGGAGGGGAAAGAAGAAGGAAACTGGAACCGGAACCGGAACCGGAACCGGAACCGGAACCAAAACCAGAACAGAAGAGCGCCGGAAGAAGGCAAACACACTGAACCAAAACCAGAACCGAAACCAAAACCAGGACCTCGGGAGCCCCTCGAACCAAAGAAGAAAAAGGAAACCGAAACTGGAACCGGAACCGGAACCGGAACCAAAACCGTGACCTAGGAGGCCTTCTTCGGGGCGGGGACGAAGAAGGAAACCGGAACCGGAACCGGAACCAGAACCATGACCGGAGGCGCCCCTGGGCACCGAGAAAAAAAAGGAAACCGGAACCGGAACCGGAACCGGAACCGGAACCACGACGACCGTCTCAAACGAGGAAAGAAAAAGGAAACCGGAACCAGAACCAGAACCGGAACCACAACCGTGACCTGGAAGGTTTTCTCTGCGGGCGAAAAAGAAGAAGGAAACCGGAACCGGAACCGGAACCGGAACCAAAACCGTGACCTGAGGGTCTTCTCTGGGGCGGAGAAGAAGAAGGAAACCGGAACCGGAACCGGAACCGGAACCGGAACCAAAACCGTAACCTGGAAGGTCTTCTTTGGGACCCCGAAGAAGAAGGAAACCGGAACCAAAACCGGAACCGGAACCAAAACCGTGACCTGAGGGTCTTCTCTGGGAACCGGAACCAAAACCAAAACCGTAACCTGGAAGGTTTTTTCTGGGACCCCGAAGAAGAAAAAAACCGGAACCAAAACCGGAACCGGAACCAAAACCGTGACCTGGGGGGTCTTTTTGGGACCTAAGAAAAAGGAAACCGGAACCAAAACCGGAACCGGAACCAAAACAGTGACTGGGGGGTCTTCGGGAGCCCGACGAAGAAGGAAACCGGAACCGGAACCGGAACCAGAACCAAAGCCGTAGGTTTATTTGTGCCCCGAAGAAGAAGGAAACCGGAACCAGAACCGGAACCGGAACCAAAAACCGTGACCTGCAGCTTCCTTGGCTTCGAAA